ACTCTCTAGTATTTTCTCAACTATAGAAGTTAAACTAACAGGTCTATAATTACTTGGTAAAAATTTTGACCCCTTTTTAAATATTAGCACCTCCTTGGCCATTCAAGTTGCTGAAGCTTGTGAACCCGGAAGGACGACCACATGAAGATGGAAGCTCCTGCAACGGTGACAGCATGCCACTGGATGGCTTTGTTTTTATGTAAGTCCATCATAATGTGCTATTATGCAGTGCAAACTAGCCCACTATGGCTTAAACCTCCCAGGGGCCCAATTTTGTTTTTCTGGTGCAGTTTACTACCACTTTAATAGAGGAACATGAAGTCTATAACTGGGCTCCTTTCATGTCCACTACGCCCTGCTCCCCTGCCTGAGTTGTCTTGCAAATGATTTGGCTCTGAGTAAAGCTCACCACACGTTATAATCTGATTGTTCAATCTCCTTTAGATCTACCAACAACAATGTAGTGCAAGGGCCAACCTGATTGGATACAAACTGATTTGATGGTTTAGGAAGGCGTTTATATTACGTAGTCTTGGTAAATCTAACGTTGATTGTATACAGACAGCATGGTCATATTGTAATATGCATGGTGACCTTTAGGCTACTCATAAATAGACAGAGATCTCTGAAAGAAAGGCATGCAAAAATCTGCGTGTCCTCAATGGAGTCCCTAGAACACCCTTCCTCAGTTAGGGTTCCGGTTAAACCCAAGGGTTCCTCCAGAGCTGGCTAAGAGTCCTTGAGCAAGGAGCGATTTCTGCCACTCTTTTTAATTATCTGTAAGAGGGGGATTATTTCCACTGACCACAAATATAAGGAGCATTCTTCTCCTTGTCCATTACTCTAATGTATAGTGAGCTGTAAGCGCCGGAATGAGGCCGGAACATTATATCAAGAGTTCCACCATATAAAAAGATTGTGAAAGGCTGGTCTAGAGTGCTAGAAATATGCTGCAGCACTCACCAAGAAATGACTGTGACTCGTGGCGTACTTTAATCCCTTTCCTCTGGTTTATAGCTGCAAAATCTGTGCAAACACAGCTGGGGGTTCTTGGTATTGCCTACAGGTAGCTCAGAAATGGCTGTTCCCATTGGCGGCATAATTTGAGATTATCAGACTTTTTATGGAGAGTGCAGCAGGAAATGTGGCAGGTTACTGAGAGGATTTCTAATGAGAAGATAAAGTAAATAAAATTTTAAAAGACTATTGCTATATAGTAAGTGCAATTAATAGCTGTTTGCTTCATATGTTTTGGATGTAACAGTAAATGTCTAACTTGCCATCCCTTGCTCCTGCGGACTGCTTCATGCTGAATTTGTTTATTCTATGATGGGGAAGTTTGAGGAAATGTTTGCTTGACCTCTCACTCTCAGCCGTTAATTCTTTTAATATTTACATCACACTTGCCTTCCATTGTAACGCTCTCTTGTCATGAACACTTAATCACTGAGCCAGCACAAGCAGATCACAGGTTGTATTCCTCTACTTGAGGCCATGTGGTGTACAGAAGTGCGACTTGTGCCTCATCCCAGGACTTCCAGTGAGTGGACCAAACCCTTTTCTGCATTAAGTTGCATAGCTGTTTGCCAGTACAACTGTATTTTAGGGCTCATTCACATGTACCAGGGATGATTTACTAAAATATGAGAGTGCAAAATCTGATGTAGCTCTCCATAAAAACCAATCAGCTTCTAGGTTTTATTGCCAAAGCTTAATTGAACAAGCTGAAGTTAGAAGCTGATTGGCTACCATGCACAGCTGCACCAGATTCTGAGTGCTCCAGTTTTAGTAAATCTCCCCCACGATGACCATACTTGCCAATTTTCTGAAAATGTTAAAAAAGGACACCTTTTAGCATACAATATGTAGGCAAAGGACACGTTTCTGCCATGGCCCCAGTTACGTGGACCACAAAGATCTAATATGCAAAAAATGATTGGCTAAACCACACAGGTACTTTTGACCTCTATTTTTCCTTTATATTGGCTTTTCAAATTAACAAATGTAGTAATATAGAGGTTGGATAAAGAATTTATTATTAGTCCTCACGCACACGGGATGTTTAAATAATGCTGGTAATGTTAGTTTTGTAAAGTCACATTAAAAACGTGAGTTTTTTCAGCTTTTTTTAGTGTTTTTGCATTAGCGTTTAGCAGCGTTTTGCCATGAGTAGTGACATTTTCCCATGTTTGCGGTTTTAAGCGTTTTCTTTGACCAAACAAAAAACTTTGGGTCAAAAAAAGTCCAAAAACGGCGGTTTGCGTCGTTTTTCAGGGTTAGAGCATTTTTACAGCTAAAAAAACTTCTCTAGAAACCAATAAGTCCTGGTTTTTTTTCCAGCCAAAAAACGTCCCAGCCAAAAAATGTTAATTACAGTCTATGTGTGCATGGACATATAGGATAACATGCTGGGGAGTTTACTGGCTGTAGAAAAAAACATCAAAAGCCAAAAACAGCAGCTGTAAAAATGTCAAGTGTGCATGAGGACTAAAAAGTGGAAAATTGCCATCTCCAAACCAAACAAATAAATACAAAAACTCTCAAAAAATATTTTGGTAAAATAAATAAAATCTAAATATAGGTAGCTGGCCGTTCAAGTGTAAAATACACTTTCAATATGCGTGGAATAAGCGAAAGTGGGTGCTAGCCAAATGTACCACAATACTACTTCATATTCAAAGACATATTTCTATATACAATGACACATAAAAACAAAGTGATAAATATTGTATAGTCCAAAATAGTGAAATGGAAAAATCCCAAACACCAAGTATTAAGGGGTTAAGTTTCATTTTAAACTCCCAAAGCATGTTTAACATTTCAGCTGTGGGTCTGTTAATTCAGTAATAATGTTGTTCTAACATTGTACTTATGGTACAAGTAAGAAATATATTGCTTGTTTGGGACCAAAATTGTTTTTATTTTAAATATATTGTCTTATCTCAATATTTTAAAGGCAAAATATAGCAGACTTAATATGGTCTTTGTTTCATGTATGACCAGTAATAGTTTTAAAAACAATTATTGTATCTATTAAGTACCAAATATAATCAATATCACTTATCATGACACCAAAATTACGCTTCTGGTAAGTGAAAAGTTATTTAGGTTCTTAATAATTCTGCGTATATGTTTTTTAACTATTGCAAATAATGAACAGACAAATGGTATAAGCATACATGTAAAAAAAAAATTGCTAGTTGAGGATACAAGGGTTAGTTGGTTGTTAAATAGGAAACATTTACATTTTTTAAAAGTTTTTTTTAAGCTATTAGGGAAAAAAATTAAAAATAAAAGATACATTACAATACCTGATACAGTGTATCAGTGTTTGCATTCTAACAAGAGGCTGAAATTCATATTTCTGCCAATCACTGCTAAAAGTGTTGCTGACAGCAGCTCCTCAATTATTGGAACCTAACTTGTCAGACTGACAAGTTTGGAGTTTTTCGTCAATCCCCTCTCTCTCACAAGGGCAAGCAATCATAAAATTCAAAACATTAACAATAACATATAAAGCTATTTATAACTCTGCCCAAAATTACATCACCAATCTTGTCTCCAAATATCACCCAAACTGTACTCTCTGCTCCTGCTCTCTAGCTCCCTTGTCTCCTCCTCCCATGCTTGTCTCCAGGACTTCCCCAGAGCTTCCACCATCCTCTGGAACTCTCTACCCCAATTTATCAGACTATCGCCTACTCTGCTCACTTTTAGGCAATCTCTGAAAATCTATCTCTTCGGGGAAGCCTATCCTGCCCACAGCTAATAATGGAATCTTCTATTCCTCCTACCAGTCCATCCCCCACAGTTAATACCTTTTGTACCACTAGCCACTCCCTCTTAGACTGAAAGCTCCAAGCTCCTAACCCTCTTGTATTGAACTGTATTGTTGCTGTAATATCTCCCGTTATATTTTAAAGCACTGAACAAACTGCTGATGCTATATAAATCCTGTATAATAATAAACCTAGGCTAAGGGCCAGTTCACACCACAGAAATGCAGTCCAGATGCATTTCCGCATGCGCATTTTTGATGTGTTCCAGTACTGGTTTTGATGTGTTTTTTTTCCTTCATCTTAAATAAGGACAAGCGTGTTTAGGTGCGTTCTGGTGTGTTTTTGATGCATTTTGCCGTTTTCCAGTACAGTTCAGTGCAGAAAAAGGAGCAGGGCCCTCCTAACCCTCTTGTATTGAACTGTATTGTTGCTGTATTGTTTCCTGTTATATTGTAAAGTGCTGAGCAAACTGTTGGCGCTATATAAATCCTGTATAATAATAATAATCCTAAAACGGGGCTCACTGTAATGATGGCAAAGGAAGGGTGGTGACACATTTCAGGAATTGACTCATGATGGAGCCAGCTTCAGCTGTATAAGAAGGTTGTGCAAATTATTAACCATAAGCCTACAGGGCATTTATACCCCCGTCCTGCCCAGGCCAATTTCCAGCTTTCAGCGCTGTCCCACTTTGAATGAAAATTGCGCGGTCATGCAACACTGTATCCATATGAAATTTTTATCATTTTTTGTGACAGATAGAGCTTTATTTTGGTGGTATTTAATCACCTCGGGGTTTTTTATTTTTTCTTAAACAAACCAAAAACCACTGAAAATTTTGAAAAAAAAAAGTTTTTTCTTAGTTTTTGTTATAAAATTTTGTAAATAAGTAATTTTTCTCCTTCACTGATGTGCGCTAATGAGACTGCAGTGATCGGCACTGATAGGCTGCACTGATGGACACTGATAAGTGACACTGATGGGCACTGATGAGGAGGCACTGGTAGGTGGCACTGAAGGGCATTGACAGGCATCACTGATGGGCACTGAAAGGCAGCACTGATAGGCGGCACTGACTGGCACTGTTAGGCAGCACTGACTGGCACTGTTAGGCGGCACTGATGGGCACTGATAGGCGGCACTGATGCGCACTGGTAGGCGGCACTGACTGGCACTGATAGGTGGCACTGATTGGCAGCACTGATAGGTGGCACTGATTGGCATTGATAGGTGGCACTGACTGGCACTGATGGGTGACACTGAAAGGCAGCTCAGATGGGCACTGATATGTGGCATTGATGTGCACTGGTAGGCACTGATATGTGGCATTGATGTGGCACTGATGGGCACTGGCACGTGGCACTGATGAGCACTGACAGCTGGCACTGATGGACACTGACAAGTGGCACTGCTGGGGCTACACTGATCATCAGGGCACACTGATCATCAGTGCACTGATGATCAGTGTACATGTCCCCTCCGCAGAATGCCAATTACCGACTCTCCTCTCAAGCTGTCAGCGTGACAGCTCGAGAGGAGAGAAATGCCGATAACCGGCATTTCCCTGTTTACATGTGATCAGCTGTGATTGGACACAGCTGATCACATGACCGAGCCGACATCTTCGGCTCTTTCTGTGGATCGGTGATCCGCTGTGTCCGAGGGACACAGCGCACCGCCGATCACTGCTCTACGCGCTCCGGGAGCCGCGCATGCGCGGTTAGAATGGCAGGACGGCATATGACGTCCTCCCAGAACGAGAGAACCACCTTGCACCGGTCATATTACTGTATGGCGAGCGGGAGGTGGTTAAAAAAGCCAGAGAACAATTCCTGGGTATATGTCAGCGTGTATGGCCAAATACGTTTGAATTTCATGTCTATTTCTAATGTCCATGGGAGGGTTTAGTTCTGCTTTAACCCTTCCCTACTCTATGCAAAACTGAAAAAAAAACACATTTTGGCTATGCATACACTTTAATTATATTGTTTCCTTTCACTAGTAAAAGTCGAGTGGAATAGGTTGAGAAGTTTGCTTGTTGGCATAGATTGCTTGAGCCGGTATTCTAATGCTAATGGTCACAGAAGGGAAGACAGTTAGAAGACACCCACTGTGTTGGCTTATCTTGGTGGGGAACTTTAGCATTCAACTGAAATGATCCAAACCTGTTGATAGCTATTTCTCCATAGAAGTCTGCAACAAGTACTCAGTAGACTCACATGGGGATGACTAGGCAACAAGATTATTATTATGTCCCGGTTCTAAGAAGTAGTTGTACTCAGGCAGGCAGGTTTTGTTGGAGACTCATTTCAGAATGAGGCCTGCTGACTGGTGTGACCATTTCATAAGCTGAAGGTAGCTGAAAGCAGACTTCATAACAACAATCACCATTTGAGCATTCTTAGTAGGAATAAACACAGTACTTCTAAAGCCCATAAATGCCTAGTGGATATAAGACAGGAAATACAATTTTTACATTTATGTTATTATAGCATTGCTCTGTACTGCAGAGTCTGAAAGGTAGTGGCACATTTTAGAGGCCAGCTTAAAAAACAGTCATGGTTGAACTTAAGAATCTATAGATCCTTTTACAGTGAAACTGCACTGTATCTAAGCACTACAAACTAAAAATGCTATTTATTTAATTTATACTATTCAAAGCAAACTCACCCATCCATGTCTCCATGCTTTATTTTGCTAAGAAATCATTTTGAAAAACACCCCCTGGCATTTCTGGCAGTGGCCATCTTGAGTAAGGGCAGGTGATTCATGTAGCATTTACTACCTGGAATCCATCTGCCCTTAGTTCAAGCACACAGGCAAGTGCATGTTCTTAGCTGTGAAAGCATCTCCTCCAGATGAAGGAACAAAAAATTCTGCCCTTAGCTCAGACATTGGTTGAACTGACAACCCTCCCTCCCCTCCTGAAGACTCCTGGGATGTATGACATCATTTGCCTAGGCTTGGAAACCAAGAAGTAACTGAAGAAATGAATGAGCATGAAGCTTCTTTATCTTTTAATCACTGTCTGTTCTCCATTCAAGCTGGTGCCATGACTGCTACTCCAGATTTCCTGTTTCAGAGTGGCTCTTTTCTCTTGCAGCATCCTATGGAGCACCCCCCCCCCCCCCCCCCCCATATGCAGGGACTAAACTTGTGTCTCCTGCACTGTGTACATCAATAGAAACACATAGCCGAAGAGCCTAGGATGGCCAGAGTCTCCTCTGCTGCTCCCTCCTCCCTTCTCCAAACCAACAGACTGGCCTCAGACTGCACTGTCCACTGTTACACGGTTTACATCGTTTTTCAGTTTCATAAAAGACAGAATGTCCATCTTGTTCAACCAATAGAAAAAATAAATAAAACTCTGTTAACTTTTTCCTGTGAAGACCGAATGTTCAGGGAAGCAGCACTAAGAGAGCAGGAGTTAGCAGCACAGAAAGTTCTGGGGTAAGAATACTGTGAAATGGTTATTTTATTGTGCTCAATGCATTAAACTAAACATTGCTGAGGGTTTAATACTGCTTTAAAGAGGTCCTATAAACTTTTTGTATAATCTTTTTTTTTCAAATTTTGCACATTTATAATTTTTGCTAACTTTATTATACGCTCTGCATAATCATTGCATTACAGAGGTCACAATCATAACAGTTGAGTTTAATAGACTTTATTTTATTGTGTATAAAAGTATGTTAATGTTTGTGGCTTTCTGTGGGCAGCACAGTGGCTTAGTGGAAACAACTTAAAGTGTTACTAGCAGGGCCCTCCTAACCCTCTTGTATTGAACTGTATTGTTGATGTATTGACTCCCCTTATATTGTAAAGCGCTGAGCAAATTGGTGCTATATAAATCCTGTATAATAATAATAATAATAATAATAATATTAAAGTGCTACTAAACCCAGGACCCTGCATTCACTATATCTGGCCTCCCACAGTACACACAACATGGAAATGCAATTATTTTAGTAAACTTAAATGGCTAAATACTTTTTCTCATCAGCAGTTAGAGCAGTCTTGTGACTTCTATCAATGTCAGCAGAGAGCACTGGGTAAAGCTTGCAGGAAGAGTTTTCATTCTCCTCTCACTGCCCTATGAGATTGCATAACCCTTGACCTCTGTCTGGACAGTGCTGATTGAACCTGTGCTGATCACATGCACCCTCCCAAGAAAATAAAAAAAAACTCTGCAGCAGTACACAACAAACTGAGCATGTGCAGTGTTCCCGAGGCTGTGTTCTATCAGGAGATGAAATGGGGAACGTGGAAGAAGGGGAGGATCAGAGAAGACAGGATCAAACATCCTTTTTATACAATGCAGAGGATTAACCCCTTAAGTCCCACAGTGAGTATAACAAGAATGCTTTACTGCATATACTTTATATATCTGACAGTTGTGAGTTTATAAAAAAATATACTTTTATCAAAAAAAATCTACTTTGTAAATTCTACCTGAAGGCTTTTTCTTTTGATAGCAGAGGGTTAATGCGTCTGACTTGGTCTGCAGTAAGTGACAGCTGCCTGATCCCAGCTGGAGAGTGAAATATTCCATTTGCATGTCACATATGCCCCACCCTCTTCTTTCTCTGCACTAATTGGCATAAAAAGGGTCATGGTGCCCAGTAAAGACATAATGAATTTTCTTTGTCCTTATTATTCCTTTATCTCTCCTCTGGAAGATGCACCTAGCGGCATCACCTTATAGCATTCTCCCAGGCACATCTCTGCTATGCAGCCACATGCACATTGCCATCTGGCTTGGCCCTCTGGCACTCCCTTCACATTGACACAGCTGAGCAGCAGATGTGCCATATAGACTGCACTCCAATGAGCTATATTGAGCCTCTACCAGCAGGGCTCGGCTGGGAGTGCGTTTTAAGCTCAGATCACTGCTGGAACAGTTACTGAGCTGCTTTTTAAACAACGGTTGTCATGATATGTTTACTGATGCTGGTCAAAGACAGCTTGGTTTTTTGGGCCAAAGCAGAGCAGATTTGTGGATCTTTAGGCTCCATGTACACTGCAACTGATAAACTCATGTTTAGGAGCTTTTCTGCGTTTTTTTCAGCAGTCCCTGAACTCACCCTAATGTTTTCCTATGTGCCCATGTACACTATGTCGTTTACAGGCAGTTAAGTTTACAGTTGTTCTTTTTAATGCACCAAACTTGCGTTCAGGAGTAGATTTTATCAGCGTTCCAAACATTTGTAAATGCGTGTAAACGCAGCTAACCGCGTTTATAAGCGTTTGCATTTGGAAATTTTTTTGAACTCTTCCATTTCCAGATGCTGTCCAGAACCTTTTTTCATCATGAAAAATGCATGCAGAGCGTTTTCTCGGTACTCAAATGGACCTGGTACATCATACTTTGAGGTTTTGCATGAAAGAAAATATGTCAGACACTGCTACAATAATTTCTGCACAGAAATGAGCTGGAACACATCCAAACACCACAAAAAAAGACAGCGAATCTCAACACATACTGCTCTCTCTGCTTCTCCTCTCGCTATTTCTCTAAAAATGTCTGAAATAGTTAATTTTTTTTACTGTTTAAATACATTCTGGGCATTTTGGAAGGTCTCCTGAGGTTATCTTTAAAAAACGCTTCTAAACGCGCAAATGCTCATAAACGCACATAAACGTGGTATGCAACGTGGCAAAACAGATGTTTTTTAACCTTCGTTTTCCAGAAGTCAGTTTCCATCATTCAGAATTGTCCTGTGTACATGGAGCCTTAGAAGGATCTTTCCATTTATAATACTGAAGGGTAAATACAACTGATTTTGAATTGCAAAACAGACTTATAAAGCAAATTAGGGTCCAAATTGGATGCACATCTATTGAAAATCATATTATCTTATTAACTTCTTCAACCTCCTATATAGCAATATGCCCAATTCTGAGGAGCCACCTGGGGCAGGTTTGAAAAGGTGTATCACAGATTTATCACCTAAAAGTGTAAGATCACAAAAAAATTAAAAGGTGAACTAACATCTTATACTTCCCCCTCCTCCCTCTGGTCTCCACTGTGCTTACCTCTGTGGATGATGGACTGTCCCTGCCCATGCAGCCAGTGTGTCGGTCCAGTCCTGACCAATCACAATCACTCTGATCAGTTACAGAAGCCCTACAGATAAAAGGAAGAGGAATTTCAAAACCCCTGACCACCACACCAGCTGCATGGGCAGGGACAACTCATCACCTACAGAGGTAAATGCAGTAGGGATCGGGAGGGTGGGAGTATAAAGTGTTAGTTCACTTTTTCACAGCCTGCATAGGCACTGACAGGTAATCCTCCAGGTAGGTACAGTTGCAAGAAAAAGTATGTGAACCCCTTGGGATTACGTGGAGTTTTGCATGAATTGGGCATAAAATGTGCTCTGAACGTCATCTAAGTCACAACAATAGAAGAACACAGTCTGCTGAACATAATACTACACAAACATTAGATGTTGCCATGGTTTAATTGCACATAACATGTAAACATTCACAGTGCAGGGAGGAAAAAGTATGTGAACCTTTGGACTTAATAACTGGTTGACCCTCCTTTGGCAACAATAACCTCAACCAAACGTTTCCTGTAGTTGCAGAT